GGCTTACTACGTGGATGCGCTGTTGCCTCTGAAGGATGGAAAACTAATATATTTCAATGAGAAAGTGTAGGGTTTTCGAGTGCAATATACTAGAAATTCCAATGATACTGAATATACACTCAAAACTTTGAGACGAAATTATATTGTTGTTAGTCTTGTTCAAAACAATCCAGAAAACAACTTTCATAACCCCTTGATATCCGTCCAATTAAACATTTTGCACTAATAAATCTTTATTTCGAATTACGTACTTTAGTTATAAAATTATTTAATATAAAAATATTTAAATAAGTATGTCCATAAAGAATGTATTAATTATAAAATATTCCAGGAGAACAAACCTTGTTGGCAATATTTAAAATTTTTTTTGAATGCTTGAAGGACTAGTAATATGAAACTATTATTCAATACTTTGTTTCTTTTAAAAATTCCTTAAATTATTTTTAACATTAAGAGTTTGACATTTCACAAACAATATATAAAAACTAACAGCCTAGTAAATTCTATATTCCCTTAAAGTTCTTTAATTAAACATTTTACAACAATAATTATATCTTTATTACGTATTACGTACTTCAATGGTTATAAAAATATTTAAATACACCCGGCCGTGTTCAGTATAAAATATTTCAATAGGATAAAATGCGTTTGAAAAAGCCTTACTCAATTAAATGAATACTCAATGGACTAATAATAAACAGCTATGATTCAAAACTTTTTCTATTAATATTTGTTAATTTTAAAGTAAAAAGTTTGCTATTTCACATGCGATTTATATAGTTTTTTTTTTAAATATTGCAATTGGAATACTTAAAAAATAACAACATAAGGTTTTCTAAATTATCATCTCCAATAAAACGAAAATGTTTTTTTCAAGAAATATTTAACACGGAATAACAAGACTTTTTTTTACACTCGACTATTCCCTCGATGCTATTTTCAATATTTTGAAAACTCGTTTTTTCTCACAAATAATATTTTTGAACAAACAGAAATCATATTATTGATGTAATTTACAATACACTCTATCTGATCACTGAGCATTATTTCGAGTTAAGAAATTTTTAAAGGAATGTATAATAAAAAATTCTTAACAGATAAAATAAATTAAATAATCCTTTTTTCAAGCGCTAACATTATACGCATTTCAAAATTATATTTACTGCTTTCCAATTAACGTACTATCCACATAAAACGAGAACAGTCCGCCTAGCTCAATATTAAATATATTTAAAAAAATATTATTTCCTAGATTTTTTTGCTACGAATTTGTTTACAGAACTAAGAAAACATTTCAATGTAGAGTTTAGTTTTTCTTTTTATTTAAAAAAAATTGAAGATTTTTTTAATTAGGTATGTTTCGTATTGAAACGGGAGCGTCCTTATATTTGAAATTTCTTCATTATTCATTAAAATAACAATTTAAAAAAAATGTTTTTGAAACTGTACAAAAACATAAGATTCTTTTCTAATGTTCATTATTTTTTTGATATTATTAATTATTAACTATTTTTTAATTAAATGAGAAACAATACATGTGAATATTATCTGTAGTTTAGTATAAAAAGGAATGAATTTGTAATTCTATGAAGATAATAATTATCGTTATATTATTACAGAATCTATTTGCATAGCTTCTCTTAAAACAAATATTTGGTAATAAAAAAAAGTTGGCTTAAAATAAATAAGTTAGAAACTAAATATTATACACCGAAATTGAAGAAAAGAATATTTAAAATATATATATGTGGATATAATAGAGATTCCAGGTATTTATTCGGAATAATTATTTTCAGTTAAGAAACATGTTATTTATATCACAAAGATATATCACAAATCTGCAATCCTCTTTAAAAATTCCATGAAAATGATGGAACAATATGGTTCGATGAATTTTGCTTCAAAATTTACATTCAATCTAAAACAGTAGTAATGATGTAAATACATTCGTTTATTAGAAAAGTTAAGCGATGAATTAGAAGAAAGAAAGAGACACTGCTGTTTTTTTCTCCTAAAATTTATTTTTCTGCGTTATTCTTATTATTCACCATGCTTTATTGGAAAATAGAATAAATTACGTTAGTTGAAGTAAAATTTACAACTGCCTTAAAAAAGAGATTCGTAATTCATTGCAACGAAGAGGCCCTACATGGAAATCCCATTTACAGTTCTGGAAATAAATCTCCTAAAGCAAAAAAAGAAATAAAGATTTGAAACTCCCGAAGTTTTCGATTCTCCATTTATCAAGTATATTTAGAATTGAATACATTTTAAAGTTGCTTTAGGTCGAATTTATGAGTTCTACGTAACATTGTGTAATCGATGAACTTGAATTTATACTGACCTGTATTATTTATTTTTAATGCTTAATTTTAAACTTCAGAAATTATTTCGGTTTAACCATACGGAACCATCTCCATCTTCCTATTTACAATTTATTTTTTTCTTCTAAAGAGTCAAATAATTCTTTTTTTAGACTATTCGGTCAATTATAAAGAAATTCACAAAATAAAATAAAAAAGAAGAATTTTCCTCATTGTTGTTGAAAGATATAATTGGACTTCCGATACTAAAGCCTGTATAGCTTTATGAATCTTTAGGAATTTTCTCTAACAAAATTTTGGAAAAACAGTATTTTAGTCAAATGGCCATTCTTACGATCATGCTGTTAACCTATACCTCTAAAACCCACCGAGGGTCTTGGGTTCGAAACTTTGTAAGGAAGTATTTTGTTTCTTGGTCAACGGTTTTATAAAAGCATTTAACATTTTTTCAAAATTAAACACAGTCTGAAATAAAGAAACTCAATTTTCAAATTTGTTTAATACAAGGCCTCCAAAAAGGGGAATAATAAGCATTTATTATTGTTTATATTTTCTTTACAAACCTCTTGTGATTAGTAAAATGCGAATGTTTCCACAAATTAGAAAGGTTCACAATAGTTCTTGAGTTCCAATATTTAAAAAAAAAAAATCGTGTTTATCTTATATGAAATTTACATGATTTAATTATATATATTTTTTAGTTTAATTGCATTTTATTTGGATGTAATAATATAAAATTATGAGAGAAATTTAATTTATCTGAGATGAAAACTAATCGTTAATTTCAGGCAGTTTTTTTATTAATTTTTAGTTGGCTACATAATATAATGGTATTTTCATCCAATCTGGGCGATACTTAAAAATATTTTCGTTTGTAAAAAAAAATATCTTTGTAATTTTTATAAATGATTGTTACATATAATTATTTCGAATTACTATTATGAGAAAATAAATTTTAGTTTAATTTAAAAAATGGTTGTTCCTACGGGATATGCTCTATTTTTAAAATAGTTCAACGAGGTCAGACCACGTGCTCATCAAGTGGGTCCACGTTTCAGTATTTATACTTTATATTATTGGCAGTAAATAATAATATTAGTTTATTTTAAGATGGTATTAAAACTTTTTTAAAATAATTTATTTTTATGGATTATTAAAATTATGTTAAAAATAATGTTTACTTTCTCAGGCATGGTATAGATAAACTAGTTAAAAAGAACATATTTCATAAATATTTAGTTTGGAATTATTAATGAAACAATAAATAGAATAAATTTGTTATTGATAGAGACGAATTTAACCCATAGGACACTTAACTAATGCTTTATAACAATTTCGTTATTTGTTGATGAAAATATTATTAATATAGATATAATGTTTAAAGAAATTAATAACAATCTTTCACGAATCTAATACAGTATAAACCAAAGAGAAATATATTTGTTAAATGATGCTTTATTTATTATTACTTCCGATAATTCATTATTATTTTTCACAATATCATTATTATTATTCATATCATTGTTAAATACAATTTATAATTTTATTATTTATTTTTCTTTTGCAGATGAAGGACACTAAATGAAGAACTAAAGATAGAAACTATCTTTATTAAAACATATTAGTTTATTATAATCTTTGACTTAGGTATATGTTTATTCTTTTCGAAAGTCATAAGAAAGCAAAATTCAGTTGATTATTAATATATTTCCGGAATTGTGAGAACATAGATTCTTTTTCTAAGAAGGATTATTTAGAAGAGGTGAATAGAAAAACGGATAAATAAAAAGATTTCCTAAATAATATCCACAATGATTGAAATTTAATGTGGTGAAGAATTGTTTATATTAATAAATCGAATCATTTATCGTTGATAAATAACCTTCAATAAGGTACAATGAAAATTCTTAATATATTGACTTATACTTATTTGCTAAAGGAATAATATAAAATTTTCATACTATTGTTTAAATGGATTTTATATTATTTACTCCTGTTGAAACCATGAACAATATGAATTTTTATTGATTTTTAATGAGAAAAAAAAATTGAAAATAAGTAACTATATAACGAAGTATATACTTAGAATTATATATTGAAAGTTAGTAGATGGACCAACCATAGTATAAATAACCTTTTTGTAATGAACAGAAGTTAATTTCGATACATCAGTTTATTATTGGAAGAGAAAAACGTAAATATTTTTACAAGAATGAGGAGATAATGACTTGACCTTGAAACATCTGTTACAATGAAACAAGGTTACGATTTCACCAAGTGTTTTCATTTCCTGTTTGATTTTAGGCTTTTTGTTATATGATATTTATTTTGAATTGAAAACAGGTTGTAAAAGAGTTGCTTGGTTTGGCATATTTCAGTAAGAAGTATTATATTTAAGAAATGTCTGTATAGCAACTAAAGTATAAGGCCGTTTTCATATCAATACAAGTATAATATATGTAATAAAATTTTTACTGTGTCTGAAATAATGAGGATTGTTTTGTAAGGGGAGCGCTCACGGTTAGCTCGCACAAGTTATCGGTTGGGTCTAGAAGTCAACACCAAAATATGTATTAAATTTTTCGGTTGTAATTTTTTTCGGCAAATTTAAGAAAGTAAATATCGCATTAAATTACTAAAACTAAGAACGGAATAAGCGAGGTGGTCTGTACTCACCCTTAGCGCTCGGTGGAAGTCTCCGCATCGCAGCAGTCCTAGTATCTTCTAAATGTCCTTCGAGTTCTTCTGATTCTGAAACACCGATAGACAGTCAGCAACCACACACGATCTCTACTCGTTGTTATAATGAAAAAAATATTCAATAACAGTAACGATTTACACTATACTATTCAGTCTTTTAAGTGCTAAACTTATTCTTAAACGTTTCACATCGAAACAAAATTCGTATGCACACATAGTGAATGATTAATGGACAAATGCAATAGAACCGCTAAAAGCTATTAGTAAACAAAACGGAAGGTGCGGAAAAGTAGTTATAAATTAAACAAAATAGTAAAAATATTGAGACCTTTTTTAGCGCAAAATTCCTTATATGTCGGTAGTGTTGGTGATAAGGAATGATAAGGGATATAGGTGAGTTATTTGCCGTATATTTGACGTAAATTTCGTCGACATTTTCTACAGCGGCAGCTTCACACTCGCCTACCAGTCTCTTGTGAGACTAAAGTTAGCCGCGAGTCGGATGGGCGGGGTCGCTGGATGGGCGTTCCCGTGGGCGGAGCTTATCGGGCGCCATTGGTGTGGGCGGGGCCCTCAGAGCCAATGGTAAGTCTCGTACGGCCCCCACTCAATGCATGATGAGGTTCCCCGGCCAGTCCCCCGAAAGGCTTCGCATTGTCAACAGCTCGCAAGGCCACGTGACTCTAAACACACGGAATATTCACTCCTATTGTAAAGTGTAATCTTCCGCCTGTTTTTGTCCCACCTAGCCAACGCTGTCTAGTTTGATCAAGTTTTTCGAAAAGCTCTTTCTTGTACTTTCGATAACTGAATGGGGGATAGCGAGCTAAGAAATAAATTCTCGAATTGTATGATACTAAATATAGATTCTGTGAAAGGGCATTACTGTGTTTTGTGTTCGTGAGTTGTGTTCAGTGAGACGCTCACACAAAACCTGCTTATTCCCTGATCCATTCCTAAACAAAAGATCATATTGCATGGGTTAATTTTAAACATGCAGGCCAATAAATATAATGTTTTCAACAATGAGTTCTGTGCAGTTTCCTATTCCTATACAACCACCATCATATATTATTTGCTTTCTTCATACCATAGTTGAGTATATTTTTTTTTATTTTTTTTTTAGTTCATATTTTTTTCTAGTGTGCATATTATCATATTTTTTTTTACTTTACTATTTTTTTTTTTTTTAAATGATCAAAACATAACTGATGCTTTTAGTATTCATTTCTTAAAAAAAAATATATTAAAAATAATGTTTTATTCCCCTCGCGTAAAATGGAGAAAAATGAATATAATTTTTCCTGAAATGAATTAAGTTTAATGGTGCAAATAAATAATAAGCATTTTAACAGTTACAAAATAAAACAATTATTAAACAATATTATGTTTAATGGAATACTTATCGCTTAAAAGTAAGATGCATTATTATTTAATATTACAAAAAAAAAATATTTTCTGGTTTCTATTTAAATATGGTTACAATTAAATGATTCAAATTTTCAATTTGTTTAATAAGAAAAAAATATCATTGAAACAAGCAATTAAATAATACTTATATGCATCTTATTAAAATAACTTTAATACATTAAAATTGAAATAGAACTTCATTAATTAATTATTTCTAATTGAATTTTAATATGAACTCTTAATAAACTTTATACATTTTTCTGTAAATCTATATTAAATTTAAGAGCTTATTCGTACGTAATCTTGATACATTGTACACCATTTCTTTGTAACGAAGTGATAATAAAACGAAAAAATAAAATTTTCTGTTAATTAAAACTGATCAACATAATTAAATTATTGGTCAATTAATTATTTTAAAAAAATTAAAAAATAATTTTTTTTTTGTATTATTATTTCAAAAATTTGGAAATGAAAATAACAGGAAATAAAATTTTAAAAAATATATACAAAATCGGATACTGTTGAGTAGCAAAACAAAAATATATTTACGGTACGGTACATTTTCAATTTTTTTCTTTGAGTCTGTCTTGTTTTAATCATTAATATTTTTTTCAAATAAATGTAGTTTATTACGATAGCGGGTAAAATTTTATAATATTGTGTTTCCGCTTTTCATAACCATTTTTTTTTTTTTAAATCAACAAAAATATATTAATAACGTTACCGAAAAATTTGATGAAAGTTTTGGCTACTTCATAATGGTAGGTCTCCCACATCCTTCGAAAAGTTCTCTGTTTTAGTAATAAAGAACTCTTTATTACAAATGTAGAAATTCTACTGATAATAATTGTTTATAACACTAAGGATTATTGGACTTGTATGTACCGAAGTGCGTTGAAGTGATCCACCTTATTTACTGACAAAGGTTAATACCCTCAGGATAAATATTTATGTTACATAGCATCACATTTATTTATTTTCTTTGAAGAATCAGGACAATTTAAAAATATATTTTCTAATTATCGTGATAATATAAAATTTACTAAAGTTCCCGAGTTTTGAAAGTACCGGGATTATAGTTTTTTGTTTTATTTCAATAACTAAAATACATTTCCTTTAAAAAATAAAACAGAAATGTGGTTATATGCAAATTTAAAAAAAAAATTGGTGTAAATGAATTGAATGTCGTCTTGAATTATATATCCATCGAAAGTAATGAATATATATAAATATAAATATGCAATTAATCTAAATTTGTTAAAAGGACTTACAGAAAATATGTTCTTTGCGACGTAACCTCGTTACTGAGCGTTAACGGCAAATTAGTGTTTTCGCAGAGTAGCCAACATCGAGTCGCTTAAATTCCTAATATAATCTACAGCTTTAGATGTTTTAAAGAACTATATGTAAAAAAATATTTCGTTAATAACCTTTCAATGCGTCTTCGTTGTCTTTTAAATATATTTTTTAATAATTCAACTTTATCAGCAATATTGAACTTATATGATTTTTTGGTCAAACTTTGTTCTCATAATCTATACACGGCAGTAAACTGAATTTATAAAATAGTTAAATTGTTTTTACAGGCATTAATATATATCAATCGATTATATTGAAAAAAAAATATATATAAGATAAAATATTTTTATGTAGATGAAATTAAAGAAAAATATTCACAATTATTATATAAGGTAGCTTTTCACATATTATTCAACACTTTAAGGCCTTAATTTAGATGTATCTATGAAAATCAGAAAGAAAAAAAATTCTGACGAGATTTGAACAATTCGATTCGGAACATACTTCAAACTGATTTATTTATCTCTTATCTAATAATCCAATGGAAAATTCCTTGCCCAAAAGTCAAGAGTTCGTACATTCGATTTTAATCAGTTTAATAAAAGTAATAATTAAAACGAAAATAATTCCACAATGCTGAATATAGGTGAATTTCGTCATGATTTAACTAACACATATTGTGTTCAATGGAAGTATTTTTGAATTAAATTTTCAATAATTTTTGAACTTAATTGTTTTGTTAAAATAAAATATGTTGTAATTACAATAAAATTAAGACGAAAAATAATTATAATTTTGTAAGGTAATGAACCAAGAAATTCCTATGTTAATTTTATCTAGAACAATACAACCATTCAAGGTTTAAAAAAATGTTTTGTATTATCTTGCTTCAGGAATTCTTTAAATTTTCATATCAATTGTTTGTTTCGTGAACATCAGTTGAAAATGTAAATACTAATTCTAATCTTTTAAAATTTAATATTTATTTTTGATAGACTTGGATAAATAATAAGTATATTTAAAAACATATATGCGGATTTCGTTCATTAAATCTTAAACGTTCCTGACTATATAATAAACAGTCGAAAAAGTAATTTAATTTTCTGAGTTGGTTCAGTTTTCATCTTCACTGAATTTCCGATTGCACGTTTTAAATATATTTTTTTAACTACAGAAATCGCGGTGTTACAGTTTAGTGTGGATAGGATGGTAATGTGAAAGTAATTAAGAATAAACTATTTTATTAGTTCTAATAGACATTTTGATTCTGAATCGACAAAAGTAAATTGGAAATACGTAAAATATTTTGGACTAACAAATACGCACTTTGGATGTGCAATGAAAATAAAGCATTAGCAAAGTCAATAGAAGATGAATTACAAGAAGTAATTCGTATTTAATCCTTACATCGCTAATAAATATAATATTTTAATAGACCCACTAGTTGTTTTATAATCTTATATAATGGTAATAAACTGCTTTAAGAAATGTTAAAATGAAAAATACGTTGGAAATTTAATATTTTACTATTTGCGACGGCATCGTCCGTTTTTTAAATCGTATAAATAACTGTTGGCTAATGAAATATTTTTATGTCCAAGTATTAGTTTTGATTTGCCAAATCTGCTTTCTTTAACTAAAGCGAACATCTGTTATAACTTCCATGAATGTTTTATCTTTGAAACTTTGAAGTAACGGTCCAACCACTAAATTTAGTACCCAAGAAAATGGCAGAACATTAGTGAAACGAATATTCGTAACAGCCCCATTTTTAACTTATCATTTTCACCCATAACGAAATTGTAGTCGGAAACACATAACCATTTTCTTTTTCCGTTTTTTTTTTTTTTTTTTTCATCCAATGACTAAACACTTATGTTCACGTGTTTCAGAATTGAACTTCTGATTACGCAATTGTTTGTCGTAAACATATTTGTAATAGCTTTATCGGGAATGAAAATAGATTGATACTATCATATTTCCATATATGTAAATGAACCTACGTGGAAGCGATATTTAACATTTCTTTTTTAAAATATGAATTTGCTACGCCAAAGCTATTAATTGCAAACTACATTATTTATGTTTCATATTTAGTCATTTCCACTTAAGATTCTGATAATTGGGATATTTTTTTTGAGGTTAAAATAATTCACTGAAATTGTTACAGGACAGAACCATTTGATTAAAATTACGAAGGTCAACTCTTGTTATAACTCTTGTTTTACGTTTAAAAAATACTCTATTAAAAATATGAGAAAAAAATCACATTGTTTAAAAATATGAGTAAAAATAAATAAACTAATGAGAATGGTATCTAAATAAGGTACCTCCCACAAATAAAACTATTAAAAAAATGGTGTTAGAATTTAAATCCTATATCACATATTAAGTTTATTAATTTACCCACTAAAATATTAATGTAGTTAAAATCTAAATAATGATTTTCGTTTTCTGGACGGTAATGAAATTCTAATAATCTAGGTATGTCTCTGTAGACAAACATGTACATATTTGAACAAATGACTACAATGATAAAAATAAATTGCCACATAGATTATCGTCAGTAAAAATGTCAGTAATAAAAAGGAAAAACATCTCCCAATAATAAGAAAACATTAAAATGAGGAAATAAGTAAGAATAACGAATTAATATAGTTGAAACATATACAATACAATTAAAACATAATTTTACTTTTAATTCAAATTTTATCCTTGAATTATGACGGAATGTTAAGTGTTGGGAAAAAAGGATATTTACATGAATATTTGGCCAAATGGATCCGTTATATATATCAGGTTGTAAGAATTTATTTATTAAAATGTATACACTATCCCTAAATAAGTAACATTGACATAGTAGAATATAACCATGTTGAAAATAATATTATACTTTTAGAATGGTGATTTTGAATTTATAAAGAATTATATTATAGACTTTTAAGTAAGCTTTATTTAAAATTTCTAAATTGTTAATTATACCTAATGTTTATTATTTGCGGTTTAGAGGAACTGCAATTTTGAAATTTCCATTCAATTTGAGGAAATGGCTTTTATTTTTATGTATCATGTTGAATTTATTTAGTTTAAAATTGTATATTCATTTTGGTACCTAATATTCAATTTTCTAAGATTCTTAAAATATTTAAATAAATATAAACTGAATGTTAAGTGAAAATTTATCTCTTTTTTGAGTTTTCTTCTAATTTAATTTTAATGTTATTGAGTATTATCAGTGTTGTTTTCATTGCGTAACGGTCCATAAAAATCAATATTTGATTAAAAAAAAAAGATTTATATTCAAATAATAAAATATTAGGTACTATTTTTTTTTAATATATGCATACAGCCCGTTTAATAAATCATATCACGAAACAATACGATTATTTCCGAAAATATTTTATGTAAATAATACAGAATTATTGTACATAATAATTGTTTTTGTTTTTTTTACTAGCTTGGTTGGAACAAACATGTTTGTGTTATAAACTCTAAACTCTTGAAGAAAGTTTTTGAACAATAAAAAACATAATGGCAACAAATTTTCTACCTTGAAAACAAAAAATTAAACAATTTAAGGTCTCTTAAAAAGGAATCCCAGATAATTTTAATAATTATTAAATTAATGATATATTTTTCTTATTTCCTGTTATTATTTATTTTTATTGAAAAATAAATTGGGCCATGTTGCTTTATTTTGAATTTGTTTTAGTACTGTGAAACTTCTTAATTTTTTACTATTTTTTTTTTACTTCCGTAAGAAACGTGCTTATAAAAGATTTTGGACATAATGGTATGTACAATTACATCAGCAAACAATTAAATCATAAAAAGTAATAATAAGTATTTTAATAATATTAAACTTACACAGCTCAGCTTGGTAGAGCGAAGACGACTATCGGCCAAGGCGGAGTGGGTAGTAAGAAAATTTAACAGCATTTACGGAATCCCAACTTGTGCCGCACTCTAGAACGGTCCGACCAAACTTTTCAGCCCTTCACATCGTAAATAATTTCACCCTAAATAATTATATAAAATAAATACATTTTTATATACGAGATCTATTTTTATTTCTGCTATCGCAATTAGCAATACTCGAAGAAAAACAATTTATTGAAATAAATTCAAAATTCAATTGGAATTAATTCAAGTGTCATAATTAAAAGTGTTGTAACATTTTAAATAGCTTAGAAGATTCTACGAAAAAAATATTTGAAAGATCATAACGAATTCGAAATACAAAGAAATAAAAAAAAAAAATTAAATAATAACGATTAACTTATTTTTATTTTATCATGCTTAAAAAGGTGATTCGCTTATTTTCAAATTTAACCATAATTTTTTTTAGGAAATTGAGATAACTTTCTATATAGTTATTATAATAAGATTATAATATTTAAAAAAAGTGGTGTGAAAATATGTTTATTTTAAAAACTAGTCCATATTTCCAAGAGATGTGATAATAATTCCATTTTTA